GCATAGATAATTTCGGTTTAGCGTTTGTAGAATTCAGTTGCAAACTGTAATGCTCAATTTGTTTTCCAGTGAGTTAAGATTTGTTGAAATCCAAGAAAAGTTATGCTTAGATGTTACAAAAGGCCAAGCTCAAGTAAGTCACAATCGTGATAGACAAAAAAATCTTTGTTTCATTAAAATAGTAAGAAGTGATAATTTTTGTTATTTTTTTGCAATTGTTTATCTAAATGGTGTGAAAGTTTCTTGGATGTTAATAAGCTTTTGACCAATTTTATTACTGTGGGATGCACTGCTGGTAAACTGCAACATCTGTTTGAGGTAATATTGTTATTCTTTTATAATTTTTTAAAATATAATATATAATAGGTTGAGTACCAGAGGCATGATTTTGAATTTTTAACTTTCTTTTATAATATTAGTCTCAAACTTCAGTATAAATTTAATACAACTCCTGTTTATGAAAATGTACCATTCAACCCTGTCTTATTAGTGAGTTAATAAATTGAAAAAGACCCCACCTCCCAGAAGAAACATAGTAAATATTCCTATGATTATAATGGTAGCAAGTTTATTATACAAAAAATAATTACTGTTGTTTGTAATACAGGCATATAAATAATAATTTAACTACCAGTTAGTGTGATGGATCATTTTGTTATCCATAATGACATTAGAAGCAATGAGTATGACTGTTCATGGTGGGTCCTTTTAGTAGTGAAGTAAGATGAATCAAAGTGGATCATTTTAGAATCCATGATGGAAAGAGAAGTGTTGGTGTATGATGATTCATGGTCCATCATTATAAGAAGAGCATTGAAGTTAGATGATTCATGGTCCATCATTGTAAGAAGAGCATTGAAGTTAGATGATTCACGATCCATCATTTGTTATCCATGATGGCAAGAGGAAGTGTGATAATTCATGATGGGTCATTTTACTATAACTGATGTAAGAGAAACATTGGAATACAGTGATTCATGATGGGTCCTTTTACTATAGCTGTTGCTAAGAGAAACATTGAGGTACAGTAATTCGTGATGGGTCATTTTACTATAACTGATGTAAGAAAAACATCGAAATACTGTGATTCATGATGGGTCATTTAACTATAACTAATGTAAGAGAAACATTGAAATACAGTGATTCGTGTTGGGTCATTTAACTATAACTAATGTAAGAGAAACATTGAGCTACAGTGATTCATGATGGGTCATTTAACTATAACTAATGTAAAAGAAACATTGAGGTACAGTGATTTGTGTTGGGTCATTTAACTATAACTGATGTAAGAGAAACATTGAGGTACAGTGATTCGTGTTGGGTCATTTAACTATAACTAATGTAAGAGAAACATTGAGGTACAGTGATTCGTGTTGGGTCATTTGTTATCCGTGATGGTAAGAGAAGCATTGAAGTATGAAGATACTTGGTGAATCATTTTATTATAAATTATGATAAGATAAGTATGATAAATCATGGTTGGCACTGGAAAGTTGGCCTCAACTTTTTCAGCACAGTAAAGAGACTTGTGGATTTCTAGAAATTTCAAATATTAGAATTGAGGAAAAAATATTCTGAAACCTGGAAAAAAAGGCACTTTGAGATCTTGTTGCACCACTGTATATAACACAAAACAATTTACATAGACTGGATAAATAGCATATACATGATGAGTTGCATAATTTTTGCATGTAGTTAAAGTTATGTTATTAGTAACAAATACTTTAATTTGCTTATTAGTACTGTTAGGCAGACAGCTGCCCTACACTTGTTACATTTTTATGTGACATTCTAGTTAACTATGTACATGTTATTACTCAGTATACATGAATATTGCATATTTACGATACTTTAATTGTTTTTTTTTTTAGAACAAATTACTAAACATATTCCACAGAGTTCAGCTCAGTGTCATATATCATTGTACCGGTTGAACTCAATATCATTCATCATTGTATGACTTACTGTTGAATTATAATTCTATAGTTTAACTTGTACTAGTGGTCTAGATCTTGTTGTTGTTTGAAGTTAAGCACATAGCTTCTCAGTGGGCTATCTGTGCTCTGCCCACCACGGGAGCATCTAGTTCTTGAAAGAGATGATTGCACATAATGTGAATGATAAGTTATTAATGTGTTATGTATTATGTAGCTTGTGTGTGATAATAAGTGATAAGTAACGTAACAGTATGAAAAAACTTCAGCTTGTTTCAGGCAACTGAAAAGAAATCCTATACTAAGGCATTTCACTTCTTTTCAGCAAGCCTTTTTCAGAATGTTTAAGAAATTCTCTGGATCCTCATCAAATATATTCAACAGTATAATAGTTGATTGTTTTTTACCAGACCTTTGCATCTGAATGTAACAAATAATGCTAAATTGGTTCCTCACAACAGCTTATGAAGAGAGACAAGCAGGCATAAGTTTGGATATGAATTAGGAAAATGTTAACCTACATTAATTGATGCTTAGATTTTGGTGTTTTGGCTCAGAAAAAAGGATGAAAGGTACATAGCCTAAAATCTAATAAAGTTCAGTACAAACCCTAGATATGCAAAGAAGAATGTGAAGAGGCAGGAAAACATAATTATGCAAACATGTGAGCCAGCAGTGTTAGGGGTAACATGTAACTGTAATAATGTTACATTTAAGAATAACTTTTTGTAAAAATCTATATTATTACAGTATTTTAAACCTGAATGTAACACATTGTTTTTATTCATTTATTATTTTGAATTATAATATTGCTTAATGCTGTTAAGACTTTTGTTTTGGTTTAGAGCATTGCTTGGAGTTGAAAATTGAAAATGATGACAAATTTCATTTCATTGTTAGAAATATTAGAATTATTTTGAGATTTTAGATGTTGCTAAAATGATGATATGCTTGGGAATAAAAGTGTTTTGGCATTCCAATATGCAACTAATGTGAATGTCATTTATCTTAATTGACTAAGTCTCAGTTTTGGGTGAAAATAAAGGGTGTTTTACTTTTGATCATGATCAACATTAATAGTTCTTTGTATTGCTGTCAAATAATGTGAAATGAAGTCATTTTTTGACGTGATGTAAGTTGTGTTGAAAAATAATAAAATGTAAGTAATATCTAATGTTATTGCTTTTATTTTCAGGAGTGGGTAGTGAGTAACAAATTACTAATGCTGGTGATACTGTTCAGCACTGTCAGTCAGATAACATAATATGCTAACTTATTCCAAATTGACTGGGCCTAAAGTCTTCTCTCAGTTGTGTAGTTATATTTTTTAGCATCATAATCACTTTTTAACATCTAATAGAGAAAAAAATCACAAATTTGGTATCTTCAGTTTAGAACCAACCTGAATTTAAAATTAGAATCCCATAACAACATTGGTCTGATGGGAAAAAAAACAAGAAATATATATATATTCTTAAGCCTAACATTTATATTAAAAAACCATATAAACTGGAGATGTTTTTCATTTCCACATTTCTCTTAATTTCTTTATTTTGGAATCAAAATCAGATGTGTGTAAAAATAGCATCTTTTGTTTCCCACCAACATTCAGTACTAGAATTTTTCTGTCAGCCTGGATGATGATAGACAAAGTTTTTTTGGAAATTCTATTTATATATGCAGTATAATACTTTAAAAATTATGGATTAAGTTCTCAAAGCTACAAGGCGTTGAAAACCGATAGGCTTAACATTTATGATAAAAATCACATAAACTGCAGATGGTTTATTTCACATTTCTCTTAACTTGTCCATTTTGGATTCCAAGTCAGAGGTGAGTAAAAATAAAATTTCAATTCTATCTTATGTCTCCCACAAGTCACTGATCAAGAGGTTCTTTGTTCAATACCAGAAATTACATCTTTTTTTTTAGGGTAGTTCATTGATAACATTTTATTTTCATTGTTTTGTTCTAAAAGTGAGAAGGCCTTAAGAACCATTGTTTTTGCTTGTAGCTAGTATTAACTCTTTAATTTCCTTACTCAGTGAGTTTGACCTTACTAGATGTGTAGATTCAGTTCTTTCATTGTTCTGTTCCCTGGCATGTCCAGGTGTTTCAGGCACTCGAGTCACAATCTGCAGGTCATGGATTCAAATCCCTGTTCCACAAAATGTGCTGGCCCTTTCAGTCATGTTGCATATTATAATGTGGTGGTCAATACCACTATTTGTTTATAAGGGAGTAGCGCAAGAGTTGGTGGTAGGTGGTGATGACTAGCTGCCTTCCCTCTAGTCTTTCGCTGCTAAATTAGGGATGGCTAGCACAGATAACCCTCGTGTGGATTTGTGAAAAATTCAGAAGAAGCAAACGAATCTGTCCATATATTTCACATTTTTAATATTTTTTATATTTCTTGAACATCAGTCAATGGATATAGTAACACATTCTTGTTGTTACTTAAATGTGAAAAAGGTTAAAAACAAATATAAATATCAAAGACTTGGAAAGAAACCATTGATGCTAGCAGAACTTAGTTGATGAATGAAAATAAGTTGTGCATTCTCTTTTTGTGTGTACTTGGATATATTGGCTATTTTTTTTTTAAATTAAAATGAATTTCATATGTGTATGTCATTATTTTAGTTCCTTATCCACATGTGTCTTACAGTGCCATTCCTTAGCTGAAGAACATGAAGATCTTTTGGAAGAATGGTGGTTTCATCAAAAGAAAGAAAATACAGATTTATATAACTTTCTGTGCATTGATAGCTTGAAAGGTAAGAAGGAAAGTAAACATTAACTTTTTGAAAACTACCAGCTGAATGCAACATTCTTTGTTGGATTTTACTGTAAATTTAATTATTTTGAAAATGACACTATTATCATGGCTCACAGACTTTGTATTCTTACCTGCTGCTCTAGAACTGATCTGAATCAGTTGATGTATTTCCATTATTCATTAACCAAGACATGCATTTACAGAAAATCCTGTCATTGCATGCTGATGAGTGTTAGAGATGGGTATGGTGGAGAAGTCATGTTGTACTTCTTGTTTTATATTCATACCCAACATGTAATCATTGATGTATAATACTTGGGTTTTTGTAGTTCTTTGCTTTATGAAGGAATTTTATAATTGAGTTTAGAAGAATTAATCTTCATGACTTAATTTTTTCTTTGGATACATAATTTTAACTAAAAATGTTAGTTTCATTTGAAACAGTAACTGTGGACTATTACATTCTTTCTGTTGATGAATGTTCTTATTAAAAGTATCAACATATCATTGAATGAGCAAGGCATAAAGGATTTATCATAAGTTATAATGTATCTTTAATTCCTTTGGAAGTAGTTGTTACAGTGTTGTTGTTTTTATTGTGTGTGTGTGTGTATATATAAATGTGTTCTTTATATAAAATACAAAAGTTTCATATGGAGTAAATCAAGTGAAGGTAAAACAAACACAAAAGCTGCCATAAAGTTACAAGACAAAAGGAAATATTTTCAGCATAGCTCTTTTTTGTGTATTTTCACATTGATGAAAGAGCTTTTTTTGCAAACTTTTTAATGTCTATTTGTGTGTCTCTTTTAGTCTGTTGTCCTGATAACCATTATGGACCAAAATGTAAACCTTGCTCCATTGGATCAGAGAAACCTTGTTCTGGACATGGGCTTTGTAAGGTCAGTTTGAATAAAAATATTTTAATTTTTGGTTTAAACTTAATTACTGTAAGGTCAGCACAGACTTCGGTTATAAAATTTACATGAAAGCAGAATAATTTTAATATTGACATGCGTATTGATTACTATAAAGTCATTGCAAGTACAGGTTTGTACAGTGTTATATTGATATGAAATTGTATTAATATCATTAGGGGTGTGGCTTTGTTCTTTAGTCATTGGAAGACCAATTTAGATTTTATATTAGGGCAACACACATGTTCAATTAGTGTAGCTGTGTTTTGATAGCAATGTTTGTTATCAAATGCCTAACATTTTGCCAGTTCATAATTGTTTGATTATGTATTATAATATTTCCCTTCTCAGATTGGTTTGCAGCTTAACAACAGAAGTTTTATCATATGTAGTAGTAAAAAGTGTTTAGTCACTTGACTAATTTTTAAAGGTGTCTTTTAACATATTTCCAATACATCCTGAATATATATATATATATATATATATTCCTGATGTTATTCTTAAAAAGGTTTCAGGACTGAAAAACAAATCAAGTTTTTGTAATAACACTCTCTGGAACTGTGGATAAGAATGCTTAGTCTGTCTCTGGGCATGTTATGGAACAAGCTCACATCAAACTTGTAACAGTTCTGTTAGCTGTCTCAATTTGTAATGTATTCCTTCAACAATGGGGATTACCATGAATCTGCAGGCAATGTCAGTTTTACACAGGTTAGTTTACATGAGAATCAAGGAGACAGAGTCATAATTCATAGAAAAAATATACATTGATTTAAATTCATAAAAATAACTTACAATAGTTAATGCTCGATATTCCTTCCAACTTCTCTAAATTAGCTTATTACATTTACTCAGAGAAAAACACTTAGATTTCTTTTGCTTCAAAACACTTCTTTGATAATCTTGTTACCATAACTCAATCTTTGTTTCTTATGCTTTGTTATTTACAATTTAAAGATTTAAACTGTTGATGGATTGCTTAAGGAAGAACTGAGGTTTGTTCCATTGTAGCAATTTAGTGTTCAACAAGTGCCAAATCATAAGGATGTGAGTTAAAGCTAACTAGCTAGCTTGATCTTGTCATAGTTTTTATACTCTTAATTCGTAGCTCTAGTATCAAATGACTATTATAGACTACTTAAATTTAGTCCCAACTTTTTAGGCCGGTTCTTTTATGGATATATAACATACATTAAACAGAGCATATGGTGATTATCATGTTGCATTTCTCTTAGTGGAATCAGATAAAACTCTTGGTCTTCAAAAGTTCAACATCTGGTTAGGTCAAAGTGTGCATGTCATGACCTTTTACTCAGTTTCATTCAGAATCGAATTAAACAACTTTATTATCAGTATATGTAAAAAAAAACTTGGCATTAACTTATAGTTTGTAATTCAACATTTTACATATATGCCTAGGTTTTAATTTCTTAATATCAAAAGGAAATATTTAAATAAATTTCAATCTTCACTTTTCTGTCAAGTGACTTGCCTTTCTAGGAAATCTCCTTTTTAAATTTTTTTCTTCAGTTATGTGGCTTTCAAAGCATCCATTCAATTAGAAATATACAAACTATAAATATTAAAAGGCCAGAATATACAAATTGAACTGCCTACCTTCTTGATTTGTTGAGATATCAATATATTTGTCAAACCAACAAGTAAAGCTCCTCCTACCTTATCTTAGCTTTGAAGGAATTTATCCAAAGTATGTGCCCTTATTTTATGAACATTTTGTCTTCTACAAGAATCTTATCATGCTTATTTCTTTTTGATGGGCATATGCCTCAAATTCTTTGTGTGATGTTGTTCAGCTCCAAGCAGCTAAAATAATTTAACTTATTTATAGCTTAGTTAAAAATCCAGATAAATTATAGTAGTTTTAGGGCACTGTATGTCATTAAATGCATATTTGAAAGCAACATGAATTTTAATTGAAGAACTAACTTAGTAAAAAACTTTTAGCCTAGCACGAGACTTGCACTTGCAAACATACTGTGGGTCACAGTCTTTGATTCATTGTTTTTTATGGAGGTTAAGGGTACAAAGCTTTATGGCAATAAAACCATATAATTAAACAAAAACAGGTGTGAAAATATTAAGACTTGAAACTATGAAGATATGAAGAAGACAACAATCTTGCAAAATATGACATTCAAAGAAGGTGAAAAGAACGTATTGTTAATTTTTTTGAATATTTTCAACTTTTTGTTTCACTGCACATTGATTATTTTGGTACAGTTAGTATCAAACAAGATAAATACAAAGTTTTACAAAAAAAAATTAATACTCAATTGGGATGTACTATAGGTTATGCTAATGAAATATGAAAACTGTGAGATGGATGAAAAGAAGCATTTTTTATTCTTGACAAACTTCATGAATATGCAAATAGTAAATTCAGAATTAGTGTAAACATTACCATGTACAGTTTCACAAATAAAGGGTCGGTTTAGTGGATCAATGCTGTATACATAGTTTTAACCTTATGTCCACTTGGTTAATCACTTTTCAATATTTCAAAACTTAATTTAACTCTGTGTACATTTATCCTAGAGCTCTGTTAACACATCTAGTCATTGTATTAATTCAGATTAAAACATTAATCACTTTTCAATATTAAGTATTTAAGCTATTATCTTGACTGTTTTCCATTCATTTTACAGCTCTGTTATCATATTCATTCATTGTATGTCCTCATTTCAAGATGTTAATATCTTTCATTACTAAATGACATTCATTTCTTCATGATTGATTTGAAAGATGCTTTTTCACTTTTAGTTGATACAAATGTTTATTATTCTAACTTAACTTGAGATGATGAATAGATGTGTGCAGTCCCCAAATAATCTATTTCTATTCAAGATTCAAATAAATGCACATCATTAAATACCTAAATCTCCTAAACTGACTGACATGAAATATTGTTGAGATTATGTGGTTTTCACAATTCAAATTATTGTTACAATATAATGTTGTGTTCAAAAACCACTTAAGTCATCTAAACAGTGTATTGTAGCTAGCAATAGTGCTAATACAGGTTTGGATAGCATCTACAGAAATACTGAATACAAGACAAGAGATATTAATGTTTCACTATAAGGCCTCAATTAGAGTACTGAGTATAGTTTTGGGCTCCCTTCCTCAAGAAGG